GCTCAGCTAACGGCCTTCACAAGACTACGACTGGATTGTTCTTAAGAACTGTCCTAAATTTATTTAACACTTACTAATTGGAGGAAACGTTTTATCCATCCATCCATCCAGCCTGCCAGCCATTAAATTTACCGCTTCTTCCCTTTCAGGTCACGGGGGTCACTAGTGCCCAAGAAAATGTGTTTGGTTGTTGTTGTTGTTGTTGTTGTTGTTGTTGTTGTTGTTGTTGTTGTTGTTACATTAAATGTTTGTTTTAAACCAAACTGAAATGTGAAATTATTATTTTTTTTTTAACTAAAGTTCTTAAAAGGAAAAAAAAAAGTAATTAATGAAAATCCAAAAAAGTTCAATCTGGTCCTCTGGACATTAAAAAAAAAATAAAATAAAAAATGTAGAATACAGCACCTCAGACTGAGGAAGTCTTTCGGATGAGAGACGGAACGTTTCTACATTTTTTTGCTTTTTGTTTTTCTGAATGTCCAGAGGACCAGATTAAACTTTTTTGGATTTTTCTACCTGGATTATTGAGCATCATCAGGATAAATAATGAAAACTTAAAACGTCATTTTACAGTGGCTGTGGCTGAGTGGTTAGAGCAGTCGTCCTCCAATGTGAGAGTTGGGGGTTCAAATCCCCCAGCAGTCGCATGCTGTAGTGTCCCTGGGCAAGACACTGAACCCCTCATAGCCTCTGATGTGTGTCCCATCAATGTATGAATGTGATAAAACTCTGATTAGTCTCTAGAATGATTTGTTCAATTATCTTTGTAGAGATCTAGTATAGAGCTGTATGAATGGGCACATGAGGACACAGATTGTTGTAAAGAGCTTTGAGTATCTTGAAATAAGATAGAAAGGTGCTATATAAGTACAGTCCATTTACCATTTACATTTTATATATTTTTAAAATATTTTTATTTCAATCTGATAGCTCTAAAAGACTGACGAGGTGTTGTGAAATGTCTATATTTTACAAGTTGTATTTGAAGCACTTACGTGAGATAAGGAACTTCTTGTGTAGTACTACTTCATTTGTACAACTCGTTTTGTGTAGTACTACTTCATTTGTACAACTCGTCTTTTGTAGTACTACTTCATTTGTACAACTCGTCTTGTGTAGTACTACTTC